TCGCATTCGATCTGACTATCGATCTCACTATCAAACTCACTATCGATCTCATTATCGATCTCACATTCGGTCTCACTATCGATCTCACTATCGATATCACAATCGATCTCACAATCGATCTCGCATTCATCCTCACTATCGATCTCTCTATCGAACTCACTTTCGATCTCATTATCGATCTCACTATCGATCTCACTATCGATATCACAACCGAACTCACAATCGATCTCACATTCGGTCTCATCATCGATCTCACTATCGAAATCACTACCGATCTCATTACCGATAGTGATCTCACTACTAACTCAATCGACAGATCTCACAATCGATCTGACTATCGATCTCACAATAGATTCCACAATCGATCTCACATTCGGTCTCACTATCGATCTCACTATCGATTTCACAATGGATCTCACAATCGATATCCCATTCGGTCTCACAATCGATCTCACTATCGATCTCATTATCGATCTCACATTCGGTATCACAATCGATCTCACAATCGATCTCACAAGCGATCTGACATTCGATCTCACGTTCGATCTCACAATCGATATCACTACCGATCTCACTATCGATCATCAAAACAAAACATCAACATCGTCATCATCATCACCATCATCATCATCATCATCATCATCATCATCATCATCATCATCAATCATCGGGACACCGACGGGGCACCGGCGGGACACCGCGGGCCCCCGGTTGCCCGGAAGGGAATCATTTCGTCCGGCCGCGCCTCAGCCACACGGGACACCAGCGGGACACCGGCGGGACACCGCGGGGCCCCGGCCGCCCGGAAGGGAATCATTTGGTCCGGCCGCGCCTCAGCCACACGGGACACCAGCGGGACACCGGCGGGAAACCGCGGGGGTCCGGCCGCCCGGAAGGGAATCATTTGGTCCGGCCGCGGAGACTTTCTCTCGCCCGCCCACGCATGCTTCGCCTCGCCCGCACGCACGGCACGCACGAACACGAAACCGAAATCGATTTCCCGGTAGGGGGGCTCTCCGTTCCACTTCGATCTCACCCCCTCACCTCCGATTACCACCATCACCGAGATCGGGATCTGCTTCCCTCGGTGGAGGCACACCGCCGATATTGGAGTTGGTGTCAACCTCTAGGCCTGCGAGGGGCAACGTTAGGGGGGGAACCGCCCAAGTTAGGACAGGCGGCGCGCCCAGGCGGGAAATGAGAAAGGGCGGGCCTTCTCAGAAGGCTCGGAAGCTTCCCGGCCTTCTGACAAGTTTTCTGAGCCTTCCCGAAGACAGAAAACACTCCTCAGAAGGCGCGAGGGCTTCAGAGAAATCCCGCCGCCTTCTGAGAAGGCCTTCTCCTTCTCATTTCCCCCCCTCGCTCGCCTCCGATAGGAAGCAACTCCTGGGAGGTCTTCGTCAGAGCGATGAAAGGCGATCGCGCCCGATTGAGGGGCCATTTAGCTGGACTTGGCTGGATTAGGCCAGGCATTCGGGCGGATCAAGTAGGATTGAGCTGGAGTAGGCGGGATTTAGGCCGGCCAGACGGGACTGAGCCCGATGAGGCCAGCATTCGACCAGGGAGCTATCAGCGCGGATTGGCAATTTACCTCCCAGGAGCTGCATCCCAGCCCAGAGTTAGGTCGGGCCTGTCCCCCTACAGGCGGATTTTGGAGGAAGAATAGAGAATACCCACAAAATACCCCCAAAATACTAAACAGTGGTAAAAAAAAAAAAGTCGTCCCCAGATTGGACTATTTTCGCATTTCTCCCCTGACTTAAGCCCCGAGGGGGAGGCGCCGAGCTGGAAAATGGCAGCGAGGCCTCGGCGACAGACCCCCGATGGCGCAGCTCCGCGCGGGCCGGGGGGCGGGGCGGGCGGCCCGGGGCGCGCCGCCACTCGGGGGGGCGAGGAGGGCGTGCGGACTGCGCGCTTCTGCGGTTCGCGATGGAGCCAACCCGCAGAACAAGGACGCACGACAATCGGGGGCGCGCAGACATAGATTACAGTCGGACCCAAGCCAGAAGAGCAACCCTCAAGAACATGAGACCCTCCGTCGGCCAAAATACACAGAGCATCCAAGGGTACCCTCCAATAAACTCGAAGAACACCAGGGTACCCTCCCCAAGCCGACCTCGATCTTGTACCCCGGTCCGGCTGTAGCGATTCATGGATTTGGCGCGCGGTCGCCAAATCCATGGATCGGGGGAGGCGTCCTCCCCAAGATTCGGCCAGCGCCGCCTCGCTCGGCGGCGGGAGTCCGCGATTTCCCAGGGAGACGGGCCCCGTCGCTGATCCACGCCCCCTTGATCCATGCTTGCGATCGCCTGAGACAAGGATGCGAGGGCCTTGGAATGCCGTATCGACACTCTGCGAGCAGGGCGCGGCTGGCGAAAGCGGCCCCGGAGGGGCCGAAGGGGAAGGATGCAAGGGCAACCTCGGAAAGTTGTTCATCCTTACTAAGTGTGCGGGTTGACTGTAACGGCCGTTGCAAAGGATGCTCCCCCCCTCTCCCCCCCCACCTGGTAACGTCAAGGTTCGCGCCAGCCGATGCAACGCCGAGGCATCGGCGATGCATCGGCGGTGATTCGTCGACGTCGGCGATGCATCGGCGACGTCGACGTGGAGAAACTCCCACCAGCCCTCTGGGCGTGAGTGGTAGGGCGTGTTTCCTCTTCCATCTTCCCATCTTCCCCTTCGGGGAGTGCTTGGCCCCTCCCCCCGTGCCCCCTCCCCCAGGACCTGGAGGGGACGCCCCGCGGGTCGTTAGAGCGTCCACGACGAGAACGCGACCCTCGCTCATTTTACTGAGGCTTTGGTCCAATTGGTACCTCCTGGGGGTGGGGGGGGCCTCATTTTGGGTCGTGCCTGCTCTCCTACAGGCGGATTTAGAAAGAAACATTAGACATAGCCAAAACATACCCAACAATGGTCAAACAATAATCGCAAAATCGTCTCCAGACTATTTGTTCACTAATCTTGAACATTCTTCCTGTAGGGGGACATTCCCGACTTAAGCCTAATTCAATGCCCCCCCTTCGGTGATTGATCACCCGACAGGTGGCCGCAAGCTGGCCCCCACGAGACCCACAAGAGGGGCCCAAGAGCGGCCTACGAGGGCCCCCAAGAGGCGACCGAGAGGCCACCAAGAGAACCCACGAGGCCCCAAGACGCTCCCCCGAGGCACCTAAGACGCTTCAAGAGGCCCCCGGGACCGCAAAGAGGCCCCCAAGACGCCCCAACAGGCCTACAAGAGGCTCTCAAGAGACATCCGAAAAGACTCCGAGAAGCATCCAATAAACCTCTGACCCTTCTGTTCGCCCTCCTCCTCTTCCTCTTCCGCATCCGCCTAATCCTCCTCCTCCCTCCTCCCTTCTCTCTCCTCCCTCCCCCTCCTCCTCCTCCTCCCCCTCCTCTGATTCCTCCTCCATCCTCCCCCTCTTGGGGTCTGGCGGCTTCCCAGGCTTTATTCCGCTGCGTGCTCCCCCACATGCCTGATCAGGGCAACTCGCCTGGGCATCGTTCATGAATGGGCTGGTGGGGTTGCGCGAAGCGTCCAGAATGGGGATCCACATCGAGCCTCAATAGCCGATGCATCGGCGATGCAGCGCGACGATCCGACCGCATCTACTCGTAAGACGAAGCCCAGACGGATAAGTTCGGGCGAGGATAAATCGGAAATCTCTGAGATCTGGCGGCTCTGGAGGATGTCTCGGGCGCCGCGGCCTTGTCAGAGCGTTGCGGAACGCTCGGAGAGCGTTCCAGAACGCTCTGGAACATATTTATCCTCGTCCGAGCCCCGCCCGAACTATGACCCCACTTGGGAGGCCTAGACGCTAATCCACGCGCTGCTGACAAAAGAACACGGCGCTGGAGGTCCGGGATGGCCGCGCGGGCGGCCCACCCCCTGGGGGCCGGCAGCGGTGCAGGGCAGAGGCGAGCGTGGCTGAGGGCCGGAGTGGCCGCGGGCGACGGCACAAAATTCGAGATCGAGGGCGGCCGTGGCCACGTGTCGGCGGCGCGACCGGGGGGAAGTGCGAGGGGGCAAGCCTTACGGTCGGGCCGAGGTCTACGATCGAGGTCAGCTCTGGGAGGGTGCCCTACTGTTCTTCGTGTGTGTTGGATGCTCTTGTGCATCCTGGGGGGGGCACCCTTGGCTGTTCCGTGTGTTTCGGCCGGCGGAGGGTCCAATGTTCTTGAAGGATGCTCTTCTGGCCTAGGTCCGACTGTATCAGAAGGCGGCGGGTTTCTGAGAAGCCCGCGGGTCTTCTGAGAAGCCGTCTCTGCCGTCGGAGAAGGCCGGGGAAGCTTGTCAGAGGGCCAGAGGCATTCCGAGCCTTCTGAGAAGGCCCGCCCCCTCTGACTTCCCGCTGGGCTCGCGGCCGACAAGGGGGCATTTCTGGCCTCTCTGGGTTGACGGTTTTCCATGGGAGGGGGAGGGGAAGGCGTTCGACAGACTCAAACCAGACGCAGGAGGCGTTGGGCAGACTCAACCCGTCAAGTACATGCGACGCTCTGCGACGATGCCGGCTACCCTTGTACACTGCGACCATGGTCGAAACTATCTACTCCGAACACTAGTTCACAATCGTAGACGGCACCAGAAAGTCGATGCTGCTGTGCTCAGTGAGGGCTAGCGGGAGGGAAAGGAAGGAGAAACCAGGACGGCCTCCTTGAGAACTCGTGGGTCTCCACCAGGAGGGACATTCGACAAGACAAGGACTAGACGCATCGAAACCATGATAACAGATGCGTATAGGGAGGGCATGAGCACTGGGCCTCGAATCATGAGTCAAGGTCAAGGACCGCAGACCCATTTGCCACTCGTTTCGATGTAAAGTGCTGGCCAACGCCCCATTCAATGTGACCACGTTCAGAACAAGCGAGCCGACTTCGAAAAACAGACCACTTGAATGGCCACAAACTGTACCAGCGAAAAGCAGCAGAAGAAGACATCAAGTACGAATGGGAAGGATGATTGATGCCAACAGAGGGATCACGGATCATGGATGGACGTCCTCGCGCGTGTACAGCATGTGGGTGTAGTTGTATGGCAAGCTGAGCTCGCTGGCTTCAGCTGCAGCGTAGACCTGCAACCCAAAGCGCCAGGTCATCGTCCCCTTCGAATATCCGCCACCGTGCCTCTGGGGCGGGAGTGGGCGTGTCCTCAGGTCCTTTCCCTAATCCTGTAAACCTCAGACCTCAATCCGGAGGAATCCTTGAAAAGGGGCTGGGACCCGAAGTTCTCAAATTTGGTGGGGCTTGATGCGACTTGTCGCGTTTTGTCGCTGGATTTTTCGGAGCCAAGAGGGCCCCAAGACGGGCCAAGAGGACCCCAAGAGGCACCATAAAGGTCCAACAGTGCTTCGAGTCGCCGAATGATCGCTCCAAGACGCTCAAGATGGCCCGCAGACGGCCAGAGAGGCCTCCAAGACGCCCCCAAAAGCTTTCAAGAGGCCTCCAACGAGGGCCCCAAGAGGCGAACATCGTTGATCTGCATTGAGTTGTTGACAGAATTTGGCGTTCTCCTCTTTTCGGCTTCCGGAAGCTCCAAGACGGCTCACGAGGTCCCCAAGATCGCCCCAAGACGGCCCCAGAGGCCCCCAGAGGCCCCAAGACGGCCCAAGAGGCGCCCAATATTGCCCAAGAGGCGCCCGAGACGGCCCAAGAAGGCCCACGGCCTTAAGAGGATCCCTAGATGGGGAACCCGAACGGACATTTCGAGATCTCGGTTTTCAGGTGCTCTTAGGAGGCCTTAAGTGGCCCATAAGAGGCCCTAAGAGGCCACCAAGAGGCCTCTAAGAGGCCCCACGAGGCCCCCAAAAGGGCCCCAAGAGGCTCCCAAGAGGCTCCAAAGAGACCTCAAAACTGCTCCCAAGAGGCCCCCGAGAGCGCTCCGAAAAGACCCGAATAAGCATACCTGAGAATTCTGGCCCACAACCCAGGCACGGTGGTCAGACCTGCTTGGCACGGGGATGGAAAGCGCATTGTTTTCAGAGCGCGAGATGTCGCTGGCTTGCCCGTTCTTTCTCTCTGTTTCCGCGCCCTCTAGGGCTATCTCGAAGCTGCAGGAGGCCTCTTGAGGGGGAACCAGGGCGTGTTGGTATCTTGGGAAGGCACTAGAGCGCGATGAAACACGAATGAAGATTAGGATCATACACTTGATGATGATGACGACGACATACTGTCTCTGGGGAGCATATTGGGCGTCTCCCAGGCCCTCCTTGGGCCGTCTTGTGGCTCTCTTAGGCCCTCTTGGGGCCCTTCTGTGCCGTCCTCAGGCTCTCTTGGGAGCCTCTCGGGCCGTCATGGCACAATCTCGGGGGGCTCTGGAGCTGTATCGGGCCGTTCTTGCCCGAAAAGGCGAGGAGCTGGAAAACCTTCATAGCCTAAAGGCAACAATGGTTTATTCGTCCTTCAGCACTTCGGGGGGTCCTCTCGGGTGCCGCTTGGGGTGTCTTGGAGGCCTCTTGGGCCGTCTTCGGACCCGTCTGGGCCTCTCTCACGCCGTCTTGGAGGTGCCTTAAGCTGGCGAGGAGCTTATGCAGGTAAGGCGGGGCCAAGGGCGCCCCCCGGGCGGCGAAAGCCCTACTTTCGTTTTTTTTCCCACTTAGACCGCCCATCGGTGCTCGGGGGGGGGTCTTGGAGACCTCTTGAGCCGTATTGAGGCCGTCGTGGGCTATCTGCATCGCTCTTGGGCCGTCCTCGGGCCCGTCTGGGCCTCTCTACGCCGGCGTGGAAGCCGTTGAAGCCGTCTGCATACGTGCAAATGTTCGAACGCGTCTTGGGGCCGTCTTGGGGGTATCTTGGGCCATCTTGGGGCGATCTTACGGGCCTCTGGCCTCTTGGGTCGTCTTGGAGGCATCTTGGACCGTCTTGGAGCATGCTTGGCCTTTCATGGGCTGTCCTGAAGGTACCTCAAGATGACGAGGACTTTACGCGCTTACGCAAAGCCTACGCGGAGCTTACGCGGAACTACGTTGCCGCCCGTTTCGGGCCCTGATATCAAGAACTGGTTACGTCACCGCTCTCTGTTGGGAGCCTTGGTCTTATCAGCTTGTTTACGTCACTGCTCGCTCTTGGGAGCCGCGGTATTCAGGGTCCGTTCACGGTCCGTTAACAGGGAACTCTTTTCCCTGTTAACGGTCCGTTAACAGGAAAAAACGCGTCCGTCTACCGATTTTCCCTGTTAAGTCCTTGTTCAGGGCTTCGTTAACAGGGAAGAGGGTGCCCGAGCGTCCGTCACCGATTTTCCCTGTTAAGCACCCGATTTTCCTGTTAAGGGCTCCTTTAATAAGGAAAGGAGTGGAGTTCCCTGTTAACGGTCCGTTTTGGGGCCTCGATTTTTCCCTGTCAAGGGCTCCGTTAATAGGGAAAAGGGCGGGCCCTCTTGGGGCTTCTTGGGTCCCTCTGGGGCCGTCTGGGGGTCCTCTTGGATAATTTTGGGCTTCTTTGGGGGGCCTCTGGGGCCGTCTTGGGACGATCTTGGGGGCCTCTTGGGCGCGTTGGGCCCGTCTGGGGGCCCTGTTGGACCGTTTTGGGCCCCTTTGGGGCGCCTCTGGGGCCGTCTTGGGACGAACTTTGGGGCCTCTTGGGCCGTCTGAGGCCCCTCTGGGACGGAAAAAAGGGGAACCCGAAAAACATCCAAAAACCTGGGGGAAAACCCGAAAACAGCCATTAAACCGTTTCCCCTAGACCTCTTCCCCCGTCTGCACTCCCCCCTTCAGGGCTTCGCCCCACACAACAACGTCATTCACTCGTACCTCGCTCCTTCCGTTATCCCGCAATGCAGAAGCCACCCCCTCACACTCCTCCTAATTAATTCCTTCCGACTAACGGATCGCACGCTACGCGCGCTTTCCGTCATCCGCCGCCCTGTGCTGGCTTGCCACAAGGGTGCCTGGCGTGCTGGACCCTTTCGGTTTGGGTTTTGGTTCTTTTTCCGAAAGAACTCTCCTCTGGGGTTCTGGCCCAGCCCGCCGGCCACCTGGAAGGACCCGGAAGGACCCGGAAGACCCGGTTGCCAAGGTTTTTCCTGCTCCAGACGGCTCCAAGATGGCCCAAACTGGCCTCCAAGATGCCTCCAAGATGGCCTCCAAGACTGCCCGAGAGGGCCCAAGATACTTTCAAGTCCCACCAAGACGGCCCAAGATGGCTCCAAGAAGTTCCAAGACGGCCAAAGCCTCCAAGAGAAGAGCACAAAGATCGCCCCAAAATCGCCTAAGAGGCCTCCAAAGATCGCCCAAGAGGCCTCCAGGATGGCCCCGAAACGGCCCAAGAGGCCCCCAAGACAGCCCCAAGAGGGCCCCAAGAGGGCTCCAAGACGCCCAAGAAGGCCTCCAAGACGGCCCTGGAGCACCCCAAGAGGGCCCCAAGTCGGCCCAGAGAGGCCCCCAAGACGGCTTCCGACGGCTTCAGACGGGCCAGGAGCTCGCCAAGACGGCCAGGCCCCCGAGAAGCTCCCAAAGACCCCCAAGAGGCCCAAGGACCCCCAAGATGCCTCCAAGAGGCTCTCAGGAAGCTCCCAGAAAGCCCCAAGAGTGTCCCCACAGGCTCCCAAGACGCCCCCTCCTCCTCCTCCTCTTCCTTTTCCTCCTCCTTTTCCTCCTCCTTTTTCTCCTCCTCCTACTCCTCCTCCTCCACCACCTCCGCCTCCGCCTCCTCCTGATCTTCCTGTCATCATCCCCCAAGTGTTCGCCGAAGGGTTTCCACATCGGTTGGGGGAACAAATGGTCGGTCCGATAGCTTTGCGGAGCTCTTGCCACAACACTCGGCCACATGGGCGATTCTAGAAAGCAAGGGGCTGCGGTGATTCGCCGTAGGCGTCTTCGATACGACATCCACCCGCGAATAAAGATTATCCAGGCGAAAGACCAAATCATATGCAGTTGTGGGTACCGCAATTGTGAATATCTTCTTCAGTGGAGCTCCCTATGGGGCCACGACGCGCTGCACTGGGTGGGGGGGAACGCATGCGGGCGGTAGCACTGGGGCCGTCGGCGGAGCTCCCTATGGGGCCACGAAACGCTGTACTGGGTGTGGGGGACGCATGCGGGCGGTAGCACCGGGGCCTTCGGTGGAGCTCCCTATGGGGCCACGAAGCGCTGTACTGGGTGGGGTGGACGCATGCGGGCGGTAGACCTGGAACCTTCGGTGGAGCTCCCTATGAGGCCACGAAGCGCCGTACTAGGGGGTGGGGGGGACGCATGCGGGCGGTGGCACTAGGACCTTCGGTGGAGCTCCCCCACGAAACGTGTGAGGGGTGTGCCAAATTGGGTTATCGGGGCGCATGCGGGCGGTGGCACTGGAGCCTTCGGTGGAGCTCCCGATGGGACCACGAAACGTGTGAAGGGTGTGCCGCATGCGGGAGGTGGCACTGGGCCTTCGGTGGAGCTCCCTATGGGGCCACGAAACGTGTGAGGGTTGCGCCAAACTTGGTTTTCGGGACGCATGCGGGCGGTCCAACTGAGACCTTTGGTGGAGCTCCGTATGGAGCCACGAAGCGTGTGAGGGGTGTGCCAAATTGGGTTTTCGGGACGCATGCGGTCGGTGGCACTGGGGCCTTTTGTGGAGCTCCCTACGGGTTCACGAAACGTGTGAGGGGTGTGTCGAATATGGTTATCGGGACGCATGCGGGCGGTGGCACTGGGGCCTTCGGTGGAGCTCCCGATGGGGCCACGAAACGTGCGAGGGGTGTGCCACACTTGGTTTTCGGGACGCATGCGGGCGGTAGACCTGGAACCTTCGGTGGAGCTCCCTATGAGGCCACGAAGCGTGTGAGGGGTGCGCCAAATTTGGTGTTCGGGACGCATGCGGGCGGTCCCACTGAGACCTTCGGTGGAGCTCCCTATGAGGCCACGAAGCGTGTGAGGGGTGCGCCAAATTTGGTGTTCGGGGCGCATGCGGGCGGTCCCACTGAGACCTTCGGTGGAGCTCCCTATGAAGCCACGAAGCATGTGAGGGGTGTGCCAAATTGGGTTATCGGGACGCAAGCGGGCGGTGGCACTGGGGCTTCGGTGGAGCTCCCTATGGGGCCACGAAACGTGTGAGGGGTGTGCCAAATTGGGTTTTCGGGACGCATGCGGGCGGTGGCACTGGGGCCTTCGATGGAGCTCCTGCCGGGCCGCGAAACGCTGTACTGGGTGGGTGGAACGCAGGGAGGAGGGGGAGGAGGGAGGAGGGGAAGGAGGAGGGAGGAAGGATGAAAGAGGAGGAACGCGAGGACCGTCTCTTCCAAACGAAGACCCAACACCAAATGATGGTTGGGAACAAACGAATGCCAGAAGGACAATATCATCAACGCTGCCCCAAGAAGGTGAACTCACTGCACATTACTACAGATCTCGCTCCTCCTGCCTTCCGCTCGGTCTCCTTCTCCTCCTCCTCCTCCTCCTCCTCCTCCTCCTCCTCCTCCTCCTCTCCTCCTCATCCGTTTCTCACTACCCTTCCTCCCCTCCTCCCCCCGGACCAGGTGGCGCATGTACATCATGTTCCCGTTCTCTTTGAATCGCCGATCGAAGTTCTTGGTGGCCTGGGGGCGCAGCTGACGGCGACGACAAAGACAACGAACCGCCAGTCGAGACTCTCGGTAGCCCTGGGGCGAAGCCGACGACGAGGTCCAGCCGCATCACAGCTTCTCCTCGGCGGGCCTCCCTACCGGTCCAAAGTCGGTCCTTATTGACATGGGGCCCAAGAACGCACACAAATAAATAGAGGCAAAGCCCAGGATTCCCCCAGATCTCCCTGCATGTGCTGGGCTTTCGTCTTCCCCCCACTTCATATGTTTGCAAGTACGCCGGCTTCGGCACCGCCTGAGTCCGAGGCTTTGCCTCCTCCCGGCCTCGTTCTGAAGCTGCGCCCCCCTTTTCTTCCCCCTTCTCTGATTAATTCAAGCTTCGCGCGGCCCGCTTGGCTTCGACCAGAAGAGGTGCGCTCTCGACCCGCGGATCAGAAAAAATGTTTTCTCCTATTTTCCTGGGGATCGACGACTCCTTGTGTCTGTGTCTTTTCCCCCTCCCGATCCCTTTCCGTCCTCCTGCCGTCCTTTGCTCGGCGGCGCGTTGCGCGGCACCCTCGCGGTCACCCACGGCAGACCGCTGCAGACCGAGGCGAGGCACGAGCCCGCGTGCGCCAGGAAGGCGTCGTCGGCGTCATCGTCGTCGCCGTCGCCGTCGCCGTCGCCGTCGCCGTCGCCGTCGCCGTCGCCGTCGCCGTCGCCGTCGCCGTCGTCGTCGTCGTCGTCGTCGTCGTCGTCGTCCTCGTCGTCGTCGTCGTCGTCGCCCTCGTCGGCGTCGGCGGCGTCGTCGTCGTCGTCTTCCTCCCCCCCTGGCCGCTGCAGCTCAGAGGCCAAGCTCGGGCGGTCCGCGCACCCAGAGAAGACAGACTCCGCCAGGCGGGGGGGGGCGGCAGCGGCGGGAGCGGCGGAGGAATGCAGAGCGGGGGGGACGCGGGACGGATGGGTGGACACGCCGACACGCCCCCCCATCTGGAAACGCTCCTATGAATTACGAGGACGGAGCCCATGCACCGTACCATGTCTGGACTCCGCTCAGGCCCCACTCCAGCGCGGTATGGTGCATAGTCTGCTTGTCTCTGGGGGTCGAACAAAAAAAACATGAACTGCACCATTCCTGGGTCGAGGATCGACGTCGCCACGAGAGGCGCGAACGCGGTACGGTGCACACAAATCGCCCGCGGATGACTGGATGGATGGAGCCGCCCCCCAACGGCCCCGCGCGGATTCCTTGGGTCGGCGATGGGCCATCCCTCCTCTGGCTTGAGCAGGGACCGACCGTCCCGGCACTCCTACAGTCCTACCACGAAATCTTCTTAGAACCCAAAAATGTTCTAAGAACAAAAACAATGTTCTTAGAACATGAGCCCGATGTGTTCAAACAAGACAGACTCCCAGCCAAAAATGTTCTAAGAACATCTCGCGGGAACCGCAAACAAAAAGGTTCTCAGAACACTGCTTGATAGGGCTACATAGGCACGCCAGGACGCTTCGCCACTGCTCGAGCCTGTGCCGCCCGCTGCTCTTCGCCCCTCCACGGCTGCGGCAGGGCGAGCGGCCAAGCGTGGGCCGGAGGGCATGTCCGTGCCGACCGGCGCCAGGAGGGAGCACGCCGCGGCATCACCGTGGTCGGGGGCAGCGCCGCAGGCGCCGCCAGGAGGGGGGGGGGTCTCAGCGCCGGCCCAAGAGATCCGCACGGACCTCCCAGCGTTTGTGCGGATGCTCACAGTCGAAACGCTGTCACAAGGAGCCCTACACAAGGAACGAGGCTCCTTTTTCTCTTCCTAAGTTAGACTTCGATCTCGCATGGAACGCCTAAGGAGAGCCTAAGGCAAGCTGTAAAGAAATTGAAGAGCATTGAGCCCCTCCGCAACGAAAAAGGTTCCTTCTTCAACGGCCCGACCGTATGCTTCGTCCTCCGGGCGAGGAGGAGAGCAGGCGGAGGAGAAAGGTCTTGCGCGCGGGCTCATCTCTCTTCATGGTCTTCCAACGGTCTGCCTTCCCTGACCGTGAGGATGCCTCGCAACTCGTCGCCGAGCAAAAATCAAAGATCTGCTCCTCTCCGAAGCCCCTCCTCCCCCGCACCCTGGGTGGCACCAGGCTGGGGCGGCTCGCTGATGCTCGGGCTGCTTTCTGCGGTGCCACGGCGCAGTGGGGACACGCCCTGGGGAAAAATGTGGCTCTGCGCTGCATTCGCGCGGGGCGATGAGCGCTGTCACGCTGCAACCCATGGTGCTCGTTTTAATTTCTGGTGTGAGCGGTGCGCTCCTCGTCCTCGTCTTTCCAAACAAGGCGTGCAAGCGGTGCGGCCCGCAGCGGCGCGGTGCGACATGCTATACTGTCACCATGCTGTCAGAGGGGGCCGAACGGTCATTCCTCCCTCCTCCCTCCTCCTCCTCCTCCTCCTCCTCTTCCCTCCTCCCTCCTCCCTCCTCCCTCCTCCTCCCTCTTCCTCCCTCTTCCTCCTCCTCCCTCCTCCTCCCCCTCCTCCCTCCTCCTCCTCCTCCTCTTCCTCCTCCTCCTCTTCCTCCTCCTCCCTCCTCCTAGCAGACGAAGAGCGGGTTCTTTAGCAAAGCAAGAAAGGTATAAAATCAGAGTGAGGGGGCCGAACGGTCATTCACTGTCCCTGGGACTTCGCGGTGCGGATTATGTTTGTTGTTGTTGTCGTCGTCCTTGTTGCTATCGTTGTTGTTGGTGTTGTTGGTGTTGTTGTTGATGTTGCTGTTGATGTTGTTGTTGGTGTTGTTGTTGGTGTTGTTGGTGTTGTTGTTGATGTTGATGTTGATGTTGATGTTGATGTTGATGTTGTTCTTGTTGTTGTTGGTGTTATTGTTGTTGTTGTTGTTGTTGTTGCATTGCGTTGCTGTTGTCGTCATCCCCCGCCGCGATCCGGCCCGCGACCCTCCCCGCGACCCACCCGCGACCCACCTCGCAACCCACCCCGCAATCTACCCGCAACCCACCAGCGACCAATCCGCGACCCACCCGCGACCCACGTGCGACTCACCCACATTGCTTTATCGGCAAAATCGGCGCTTGCGGCGCGCTCGTTGTTTAATTTACGAAAATTAGGCGCCTGCGGATGCCTTCTCCAGAGCCTTGCAGAGGGCCCACGTCCCCGCCGCCCCCTTTCATTCTTATCCGCAACTGCGGGGTGCCACGTAGGCGAGATTGGTCAGCAAATCTGCTTGCGCTTTCTCGTAAGAAGTTTCGTTGTGCAGCCAGTTCCCGCACCGGACACAGACTGTCGCAGAAACCAAGATCCAGACCACACCGATAACGGGCCGCAGCGTTTGTCCCGCATTGTTCTTTCAAGCGATCAAATGTGAAAACGTCTCTATTCAATTGATCACGTGCGAATGCGTCTTCGATTTGCTCTACTCGTGATTCAAACGAATTGCGGGGGAGGAATTGTGCCACTACGTGTGGAATTGAGCTCTAATTTGACCGGCTCTGTGTTCCCAAATCGTTTCCCCATCATATTTCCCCTGCACCGCTCCTGTTTGTATCGAGCCAGCTTGAGGCTTAATTGCTTACTGTAGCGAACGACCGAACATATCCCGGCCCCTATGATAGTGGCTGCCGCCACTCCGCCGCTGCGTGGACCAGGAACGGAAAGTGACCCCAGTTCCGAAATGGTAGCGGAGCTGACAGCTCCACGGACGGCGCCGCCACGCGCTAGAGAGATGCTCTTCGAATACAGCGAGGAGCTGCAGCACGGCAGCGTGCTCATGAGTACGGCAGAGAGCAGCTGCAGCACGACATCAGCGACCCCGGCTCCGCACTACATGACCAAACAGAAGTTTTCCGTCGGCGGCGAGGCCGATGCAGCCCGCACCAGCGTGAAGCTCATCGGGGCAACCGAGGGGCAAACTGTCCGGCGTGCAAGACGAAGGGCACAAGACGAGGATACGTGACCAAACATAATCTCCAAGATCTCCACGCTCCGCCTCCCCTCCTCTCGCCGGCCCGGCCTTGGCCGCGGCCAGCCACTCCTCCTCGGAGGTCCGATTGGCGATGGCGCCCACCCTGCGCACCCGCTCGGAGATGTCCTGGTCGGAGGCCCTTGCCTCCGCTCGCCCCCGCCCTGCCCTGCGCTGTTGCCCCTTGCCCCCCGCGCGCAGTCCGCAACGCTGCCGTCGGCATGCCCCCCGGCCTTGCGTGCCTGGCCAGGGAGTTTTGGCTTGGGCTCGGCGCGGGGAGGGGCCGCTGGGCTGCTCCTGCAGAGGCCTCCCAGGTGGAGTCCGAGCAGGTGGGGGCGGAGGACCGCGCCGCATCGCCGATGCATCGGCGATGCATGGCCGGCCGGCGATGCATCGACGCCGTCGGCGTGGAGAACATCGGGCTACACATCGAGCCGCATGGCAGATGCATCGGCGATGCGGCGCGATCCTCCGACCCCATCTGCTCGGACCCGATATGGGAGGCATATGCTGGTGGAAATTCGAGGGTGGCCTGCCGACCCGGGGGGGCTCCAGCACCTCCTGGGATCTCCCCCCGACGGG